TAGGATAGGATAGGATAGGATAGGATAGGATAGGATAGGATAGGATAGGATAGGATAGGATAGGATAGGATAGGATAGGATAGGATAGGATAGTTCTTTTGGAAGCTACATATAACTGGTATCTGATGCAACTGCCTGGCCACTTCAGGGCTGGCCAAAAGCTACAGATGTTGTTAAGAATTGTACCCTGAGGAACACCACTGGTGGCTGGTCACCAGCCAGATGCAGCCCCAGTCACTGCACCCCGTGAGCTCTGCCCTTCAGCCAGGTCTTCACCTGTCAACCCACTGTTGAACTACATGTCCAGAAGGATGCTGTGAGGGACAGTATCAGAAGGCTTAATCCAAATTTAATCCATTATGAATCTTTAATAATTCCTAAATCCAGGCAAACTATATCCATGTCCTTTCCTTCACCCAGTTGGCAGGTGACCTTGTCATAGAAAGGTATCAAATCAGTCAAACAGGACTTTCATTTTGTGAAATTGTGTTGATTCTGCCTGATGATTGCATTATTCTTTAAGTGCCTTTCAACTGCAGCCAGTGTGAACTGGATCCTGGATCTTCCTTCACACCCTTTTTGTACATTGGAATAATATTGGGTAGCTTCCAGTCCAGGACCCCCAAAGACTCCAAGACCTTTGGGAGCTGTGTGTTCATGTATCTCTGTAGCTGTGTTACTCAGCCATTTATGTGGGCGTTAAAACTATTAGAGAAGTTATGGGTCCCTGTTTGGTCTGTAGTTTGTAAGTCTTGACAAAATATAACAATATCAATCTATTGGATCTTAGATAATGTCTCTGAGATGTTGTATCTAATGGTATCACGATAAGGAGTTTTTGTGTGCTGTGTAGCTAAGTTAAAAGTAGGTGGGCTATTACATAAGTATATCCTATTTCTGGTAAAATTGTGTATTAGGCTAGAGGGGACAAAGTTACATTTCTGATGCTTGAATGTCAAATTCAGATACAACTTCCAAAATAAGCACGGACTTAGTCAGCAGCTATGTACAAGGTTTTTAAGATAACTACTGCAAAATTAATTTCCAGTTCCCGTCTTTCACATAACAGAAAGTGTCTCATCTGTGTGTCTTTCAATATTTTCTCTGTCTCATTGTTTAAAGAGGAAAAGTATCTGATTCATTGTGGCAGGGAAGAAAAAAAAGGCTGGGATTTTTAATTCACTTTTCCTAGAAAACAGATCTTATGTAACTACTTTGCCTGCTGTCCTTCTCCCCCTAATGGCTTGTGAAGCTATTCGCTTGTTTTATTGACAAAGTAGCAGAAATCTTGTATGTAATAATTTTGCTGCTTTTAAGATCTGTGGAAACACATGGCTAGGTAGAGAAGACAGGCCCAGACTACCACCTTGACTGAAAGCTGCAGTGCATCTTTAATAGGAATGAAGAGGTGTTATGGGAATTGCTGCCAAATGGCAGTGGCTTACACTTTAACAAATTCAGAATAATTCTACCACAAGGCTGTGGTAGATCAGGATACTTGTTTTGGTTTTCTGAATTAGTCAGCCGTTGGAGTTAGGTAGTCAAACAGAGAACAGGAATTTCAGAATTAACTACAGCTTGCACAAAATATCACGACTCTTGGTACACCGTCAGAGTACTTTAAAAGACCACATTAAACATGTGTTTATGTTAACCGTAGTTTTGTCACTGAATTGCTACTTTGCAAATCTGCACTTTCTTTTGCATCTAATCTAGAATTCCTTTAAATGACCCTCTTCTGTTATTTATAATAATGTATATGCCTGTGTGTATTCTAAGACAGTAATTAATTTTGTGTCTGTCCGGGAAGGATCCACTGATGGTAGTGGAGGGAGTGGGCAGGGAAATGGAAACAGCACTCCAAGAATCCAGAAATAATAAAATAAGATAGAATGCTGGGAATGCTATACAGGCATGTAAAATGGGAGAAGTACTTGCATGAGCACAAAGCCTTTCTCACACCAACAGTGAGTGAAGGGTCTGTGAAGTGTTTGGTTGTGTGTGGTGAAGACAAGTTTGAGTAAATGTATTCATTTCACTCAGATGTGTTGACATGTATCAGTAGTCCAGAATCTTTCTATATAAGGAAGCTGCTAAATACTTCCCTCGGTGTAATCTTTAGCTACTCTTCTCTCATTTGTACAGTCTGAGGATAAACTACTTCATTGAAGCTAGTTCTTTTCTACATACAGTATGAATTCTCTGGTAATCCTTATGTATTCTTATTAATGTCCCGGGCAAAGCATAGTTCACTTGCTGAATATCTCTGTTTCTAGAAGAGCTAGGTGGAATTCTTGTGCCATTGCACAATGGTGGTTTTTTTTAGGAGTTTTGTAAAGTAAAAAGACTGTTTGTTTTTTTCTCCAGCCTGTTGAATAGCTAAGCTGTGAAAGTTTTATTGGCAGTTTTTTGACCATGTGTGATACATTCACAGTATGTGCTAGCCAATAAACATTCTGGTTTTTTACAACTGTACTTAAGCCAACAAAACTCCTTTGCAGCACTGGGGATTAAGGATTCTTTTTCTGCTACAAATTTTTAAGCACTTTCGTGTTTCATGTTGAAGTGGATTTTCCGTCTATCTTTGTTCTGCAAATTGCATGATCAACCCAAATATTTGTAGTTTGACTATCATTCCCAACAGTTACGTCTGAGTATCCAAGACAAAAGTGGTGAAAATCATGATTAATACTGCTGCTGTACTAAATTAACTTCAAAGAACCCTTATAAATTGTTCTACCCCTATATATATTCAAGGACAGGACATGCTGGGACAGTGCATGAGCCAAAGATTAACATGCTGCATGCTTTTGTATTTTAAGAAGGTAGCAGAACATAGAAGTACTTTTGACTAATATTTGATTAAAGAACGATCAAATGCTTCTGTGCTCTAGTGTATTCATTTATATAATAGCATTGCTTTTACTACTCTTTTAAAGAATAATATAACTGAATAACTAAAGTGTATCATGCTTCACTCTAGCCTTCATTTGTTCCTCTTGTAGGTCTTATTGCAGTTCAAAATGGAAAAAGAATTATCCAAGATAGAAAAACAAGCTATTCAAATGGTAGGGATCTTTCCATCTCCTGGACCATTACTGATTTCTGTTTGTGGTCATAACTGATGCAGGCATTAGCTGACCTAGAATTAGGGATTACATTAAAAGGAAGGAGAAAAAAAATCATTACCAATACAGCTTTATAAATCTTCAGATCTTTTCCCAGAGGTAATTTACTGTAGCAGCTCAGATAAGAAACGAGAATCACAGGATAATATACCAGCTGTGACATTAGGCTTGGGCTAATTTGGAAAACTTTAGCCATCTCCACAAAAGTCTCATCTCCATTTCAACAAAGTTGAAAAGCACTGGAGAAAGACTGGTGCCTCTGGCCAGTAATTCAGGCCCTCCAAAATGCAAGTCATTCCCTGAAGCTGCCTGCTTATGCTCACAGACCATGGAGGGCCCTAAGGACTGAGGATTAAACAGCTCAGTGAAATGCCAAATTGAAGTGCAAGGAACACAAACCAAACAGCATATCTTCCAGTGAATCAACTCCATATATAGTAGGTGCTAATATTTATTCACCTTCTTAAAATACTTTGAGGTTCTTGAATAAAAGAAGCAGTGTTAGCATGACTATTAGTTGAACTTCTAGGATTCAGATTTCCATTGGTTTTGTAGATGCTTGAGGTTAACAAGCAATTTATGTCTGTT